AAGGGAGTTAGAATCGACCTCAAACCTCTCAAAACCACCAGAGACCCTCTGGAAGCCTCTTAGGAAATTGGGACTTTATCAACTAGCTCATACAGCAAACTTATAGGTCTCTAGGCGCCGCTTCGATGCTAATTTTCACTAAAATACAAGGTGCACGATTACCAGATGAATTTTTTATGTAAGCTTAAGTGTCGATTTACAAGTCTTTTGAGCTATAAATTTAGATCTATTTGCCGAAAAAAAAGTTGATGTATGACTCATAAACGTCTAAGAATTCATGAACGGAAGCACTTTTTGGCAATGGCTGTTAGATCAAAATTTCCTTTAGTTGTCTTTCCTTATGCTAAAGGACTTGTGAATCTGAAGGATGAATTTTACTTGTCCGATTTTGACCAATCGCTTTTTCTAACGTCCGGTCAGATTTTTTTTCATTTTCTGCTGTACAGTATATACTTTTTATAAGAAGTTGGGAATTTAGTCGTGAATATATTAGTTATCTTTTTTACTGGTCTAACTTGAGTACTGAGTTTTTCTGTGCGCCCAACACGTGTAAGCTAGAACCTTTAAGAGTAGTCTAGAAAGATAAAACAAACAGTTTTCTTCAGAATGAAACGTTTTCAGACTCTGAAAGATATTTCTCTTTCGAAAAAACATTAAAATTTTACTTGTTCTCATCACTTCAAAGCTCATTATAATAGCCACTTTACTAAACTGATCATAGCTTTAACAAGAAACGTCTTGCAGAGCTTGGAGGCGCCACATTTTGAAGAGAATTATTTACTCTATTCCTGCGATTATTTCTTGAGTTGCTGGCCTTAAAAAAGGTTTTCTAAAGATCTTTTGGAAAACTAAGCCTTAGTCATAATAGAAGATTATTGTGGAAACTTTCGATATTTGTTGTCTTTCGAACTAGACTTAGTTTAGGAAGTCTCAATGTTTCAAGCCTCTATCCGTTAACCACATAGAAAACATCATTACTCAATTGAGAATTATATTTTTGACTGAACCATGCATTTTTTTAGTCGAGATTTTTATATCATGGATTGAATATGAAAAGTATATTTTGATTAGAAATTTCAATGAAAAATATTGTGCCCCATTCAGGAAGAATCTCAGTTTTATTCAACTTTTTCACCGTGATGGCGCTGGTTATTGCGACATCTGTAATTCTTAAACAGAGTATTCTCAATAAGTTGTATTAAAACTACAGATTAATCTAAGACAGATCAAAATACTTTTATTCTGATCTTGTCCGATTTTAGCTACCATTCTTCCACTCACATGCACCCATTTCAAACTCGGATGTCCTAGATGTATGACCCTTTAACAATACAATTAATGGACGCGAAATAAGAATATTTAATATTACTGGTATGTTTACGGGTTGTTATTTAGTCGAAGCATTATTACAATCAACATTAGAATGTTTTTATCAACAACAATGTTTAAGACATTTAGAATATCATTTAAATTCGACATCAAAAGATAACATAACTTTACTTAGTTTATCTGTTAATAGTAAGTATCAATCAAATACAACTATTGGTGATATTGTTTACCAATTGATGGTTGAACAATGGAATCCAAATGTATCATATTATCAGTATTATCAACAATGTCAACCAAAACAATGTACATATACATATGTACAACGCTTTGTTATTATTTACATTATAGCAACAATCTTAGGCTTAGTCGGTGGTCTAACAACAATTTTTAGAATGTTAGTACCAAATATAGTCATACTTATCAGAAGAATGAGAAATAAGTCCAAAATCACAAAAATAACAGGTAACAAAACTGTCATCGTCAAATTCAGCTAGAGTAAACTGGGACAGTTGGACTTCTAATTTGTTTAAATTTGTTAATTTTAATTATCTTTTTGCGCCCTTTTCACAGGTAGATAGAGGAGGAAGTTCTCTATAAGTCTATCTAAACATTTTCAAAAACTCCGTGTGCCAGGCGAACTTCTCGGTGTTTTTG